CCTCCTCCTCCCAGGGCGCCAGCTCCCCCGACGGGGCCGCCCGGCTGGCTCGCGCCCTCCTTCGCTCTTTTAAGAATGACTATGATTTTTTTAACGAACTTTATTGGCAGCCAGGGCTCGGAACAAGCGTCTTAGCAGCAACTCCGGCAAGCGTGGTGGGGCGCGGGAGACTCGGCTCCCCTCATCTGTGGACCCGCCGCTCTGCGGAGCATGCGCTGGGCTTGGTCTGCGCATGCTCCGTGAGGACCGGGTCCCCCGCCCCGCTCCACCCCAGTTCCTGGTGCCAGGGAGGGCGGCTCCTTTGCGTTCCCGGCGCCTCCGGGGACCCGGTAGCAGTGGGGAGACGATCGGCGGGCAGAAACGCCTAGATCGTGGACCCTAGTAAAGAACTGACAGGAAGGTCCGCCTAAGTTTCGCCTACTAAGTGACCAGGCTTCCAGAGGACTTGCCCCGCCTTGGACACATACCTTATTTTCTTCACCCGATGACATCCAAGGGGTAGAGTGAGCAAAAATGTTGAGCAAAACCGAAAACGCACTCACAGCCCACACCTGGCGGCTGGACAAAGTAGATGTCTGAGATGGTTAACAATTGAGAGAACCAAGCCAACAACTAAAAGTTCCCCCCAAAAGCAATCTAAACTTTGCTTGAGTTGTTTTTATATTTCAAAATACAATAGAAAAGGGAATAAATGAAGATACCAGGTGTTGGCAAAATACTCCAAGTGATGTAGGAAATGTTGGGGTTTGGAGCTCATGACTAAGAATTCTTGAGAGGTCTTCCGTGCTCAGGCACAGCAGTGCGCAGGAAGAGCTACACTGGGGTCATGGGGAGTGGCCCATTATATACTTTCAAGTTGAGAGGGGGTTAGGGATAGTAAGTCTCTGAGGAATTTTGGAAGCAAGGTTTCTAGGACCTTGAGGGGGCTAGCTATTATTAGGAAAATGTCATTATCATCTAATAAAACCTCAGTCGTGAGACCCTTCAGTTGTATATCAGTGGGCCATATGCTTGGGGGATGATTGCTAACAGGTATCATGGGGGTTAGAGATAAAGGAAATTTCCAAAGGAATTTTTATATGTTTTTAAAATTTTTATTGTTATGTTAATCACCATATAGTACATCATTAGTTTTTGATGTAGTGTTCCATGATTCATTGTTTGTGCATAACACCCAGTGCTCCATAGAGAACGTGCCCTCTTTAATACCCATCACCAGGCTAACCCATCCCCCTGCCCCCCTCCCCTCTAGAACCCTCAGTTTGTTTTTCAGAGTCCCTCGTCTCTCAAGGTTCGTCTCCCCCTCCGATTTCCCCCCTTCATTCTTCCCCTTCTGCTATCTTTTTTTTTTTTTTTTTAGGAATTTTTATATGTTAAAGTAGACTTACAGGATCCTGGGGGGGTGGGGGGTGGGGGGGCAGGATAATGTTAAACTAAGATGGCCCTTTCCCCTTAGCAAAGCATTAACATTGAGGCAGCTGAGTTCCTAGAGGAAGGGCACTCTGCCTGTTTCAAGGACCCATCAGTGGGCTGTAAGCAGTAAGGAAATCTAGTTTTTTCTTTTGCCTTTGTTTCCCACACCACAAGGATGCGGAGTAACTGAATTCATCTACCTTGCTTCTGAAATGTAAACTGGAACAACTCCTTTAAAAAACAATTTGGGGGCACCTGGGTGACTCAGACGGTTAAGCATCTGCTTTCGGCTCAGGTCATGATCCCAGATTTCTGGGATCGAGCCCAGCATCAGGCTCCCTGCTCGGTGGGAAGTCTGCTTCTCCCTCTCTCATTCCGCCTGCTTGAGTTCCCTCTCTCACTGTCCCTCTCTGTTAAATAAATAAAATCTTTAAAAATAAAATAAAAAACAATTTGGCACTATCTACCAAAGAAGCCTACCCTATGACCCAGCAAACAGGGTCCACTTCTACAAATCCAGCGAGGATTAATGGTGCACCAACAAACAGGCACAAGAATGTTCACAGCTTCGGGTGCCTGGGTGGCTCAGTTGGTTAAGCGACTGCCTTCAGCTCAGGCCATGATCCTGGAGTCCTGGGATCCAGTCCCACATCGGGCTCCCCGCTGAGCGGGGAGTCTGCTTCTCCCTCTGACCCTCTTCCCTCTCATGCTCTCTATCTCTCATTCTCTCTCTCTCAAATAAATAAATAAAATCTTAAAAAAAAAAAAAAGAATGTTCACAGCTGCATTTGTTTTAACGGCCCCCAAATGGAAATAACCCAAAAGACCAAAAACAGAATAAATTAATAAATCCACACAGTGTTCATATAATGGAATGCTATGCAATATGCAACGAAGAGAAGACTGCCCCGAAAGGACCAACATGAAATGGCTTACCTGCAGAATGTAAATTTGAGTATAGAAAGTAAGGTGCAAGGCACCTGGGTGGCTTAGTTGGTTGAGCAGCCGATTCATGATTTGGGCTTAGGTACTGATCTCAGGGTCCTGGGATCAGGCTCCGAATTCAGCCGGGAGTCTGCTTGAGGACTCTCTCTCTCTCTCCCTCTGCCCCTCTCCCCTGCAGACAGTGTGCGTGCCTGCACTCTCCAAAATAAATTTAAAAAGAAGAAAAGAAAAGGTGCAAAAAGTACATCCCAAGTAAGCCCATTTCAACATAAAAACAGGAAAAGTTATCTGCTAAAATTTGGGATAATGGTTACCTTGGCAGGAAAGGGATAGTGACTGGGTGAGGGATTTCCAAGGTGTTGGTAAGGCTCTCTCTGTTGATCTTGGCCTTAGTTAAACATGTGTGTTCATTTGTGAAAATTCACCAAACTGTACTCTTATGTACATTTCTCTGTGGGTGAATTTTATTTCACGTGCAGTAGTTCTTGGAATTAAAATTTTTAAATTTTAGGGGCTCCTGGGTGGCTCAGTTGATTGAGCGCCTGCCTTTGGCTCAGGTCATGATCCCAGGATCTTGGGATCGAGCCCCACATTGGGCTCCCTCCTCAGCGGGGAGTCTGCTTCTCCCTCTCCCTCTGCCCCCCCAACTCGTGTTCTCTCATGCTCTGTTCTCTCCCAGATAAATAAAAAATCTTTTTAAAAATAAATAAAATATTTAAAATTTAAATTTGTTTTACCATATAATTGCAATATAGTTTTGTAAATGTAAACATAGTGATTATTCACAAGACATTTAATGTCAAGTAGACAATGGATTTATCTCCAGGATTTGGTTGGTAGTTTCTTAAACTTGAGTAATGTACTCACCCCCTTTAAAAGAAAAGGAAACACCCCCCCTTTAAAAGAAAAGGAAAAGGATTAAGAAATGGGCAAAGGACTTAAATAGACATTTCTCCAAAGAAGATGTACAAATGGCTAATAAGTACATGAAAAGAGGCTCAATATCACTCATCATTAGTAAAACGCAAATCAAAACCACAATGAGATACTATTTCACACCCACTAGAATGGCTGTTATAAAACAAAAGAAAACAAAAACAAAATAGCAAGTGTTGGCAAGAATGATAAGAAATTGGGGGGTGGGGTGGCTGGGTGATGGACATTGGGGAGGGTATGTGTTTTGGTGAGCACTGTGAATTTGTAAGACTGATGAATCACAGACCTGTACCCCTGAAACAAATAATACATTATATGTTAATTTAAAAAATTTTTTTAAAAACAAAAAACAAACTTAAAGAGCTTTAAAACAAAAAACAAACAAAGAATGGTGAGAAATTGTAACCCCTGTGCACTGCCAGTAGGAGTGTAAAATGGTACAGCTGTTATGGAAAACAGTATGTCAGTCCCTCACAAAATTAAAAATAGAATTACCGTATGATCAGCAATTCCACCTCTAGGTATACACTCAAAAGAATTGAAAGCAAGGAGTCAAACAGATATTTGTACAACTATGTCCACATCAACATTATTTACAATAGCCAAAAAGTGGAAGCAACCGAAATGTGCATCAGCACATGGACTGATAAACAAAATGTCATATAAACATACAATAAAATTGAGCGCCGGGTTGGCTCAGTCAGAAGAGCATGCAGCTCTTGATCTCAGGGTTGTGAGTTTGAGCCCAACGTAGAGATTACCAAAAAAATTTTAATTTAAAATTTTTTTAATTAAAAACTAAAAAAAACCAAACATACAATGAAATATTATTCAGCCTTAAAAAGGAAGGAAATTCTGACACATAGTACATCATGGATGAATCTTGAAGACATCATGCTGAGTAAAAGGACAAATGCTGTATGATTCCACTATCTAAGGTACCTAAAATAGTCACATTCATAGATATACAAGATAGAATAGTGGTTGTCAAAGGCAGAGGGGAGGGGAAAATGGGGAGTTAGTGTTTAATGGGTACAGAGTTTCCATTTTGCAGGATGAAAAATGTTCCAGAGATGGATGGTGGCGATGGTTGCACAATAATGTGAATGTGCTTAATGCCCCTGAAACAGTATCCTTAAAAATGGGCAAAAACGGTGAACTTTATGTTAAGTATATCTTACAATTTTTTTTCAACTTGAGACATCCAGAGAGCTTTTATTGAAAAGATTTACTGCAGCCAACGTTGAAAAAGTTTACTGCAGTTTTTGACTTCTTCAAAGAGCTGATAACCCTCATCTGCTTCTTCACCTTCTTCATCATAATCATCATCATCATCTTCGATAGCTTCTCCAGTAAAGTATAACACTGATCTTGGGATTATACACTCACGTAGAAAGTGACCAATTTCAAAGTCTACAGCAAGGATAGCTTCAGCAGCATCATCCAGATCTCTACTTTCAGGAACTTCAGGAGAGGCAAAAAAATTAAAGAAAGAGGGGTGCCTGGGTGGCTCAGTTGGTTGAGCGACTGCCTTTGGCTCAGGTCGTGATCCTGGAGTCCCGGGATCGAGTCCCACATCAGGCTCCCTGCTCAGCGGGGAGCCTGCTTCTCCCTCTGACCCTCTTCCCTCTCGTGCTCTCTATCTCTCATTCTCTCTCTCTCAAATAAATAAATAAAATCTTAAAAAAAAAAACCAAAAACTTAAAAAAAAATTAGAGAAAGAGTCATTGGAAACTGTTTTGGTCACAGTACGAACTGTCCCACATCCCTTGTGTTTCTGTTTCTTCTTAATGGTTTTCAAAGTGACATTCTTTCCTTTTTTCCAATCTATCTGGCACCCTGTACAACCCATAATTTCTGGTCCATCGAAAGAAAAGGGATCAGAATCATCCGGTTCTGACCTCATCCTATATGTCTTTGTCAACACTTCATTTGTGAAATATTCATCGGGTTGAAAGTGAAATTCTAAGACAAAACTCATGGGCTGGCCAGCATCTGAGAACTTCACTTTAATATCTTTCAAGTGCTTCAAAATAGGTTCATCATGTTCCTGAACCATATCACTGAGCAAGTCAATGTTCTTAAAAACAGTCAACCAGAATTCAGGAATTCCCTTGGGGTCTTCTTTTTCTTCATCCTTTTTCTCATTTTCAATCTTGGCTTTTTCTTTCAGCTCCTCTGAAATTTCATCCTCCTCATCTGGTTTCCATTCACATTCTTCTTCCATATGTTCATAAATTGCATTAATGATCTCAAATCGCTTATCAAATAGAGGCTGATAGAGAACAGCATACTTTCTTTCAAGATTATGAACTTCCTCATAGAATTTGGGCTTCTATCTGTGCACATTTAACTTGAAGATTTTTGAGAGCATTCACTCGTCTTTTAACTACCCTAGGCAGGCTTTCAATGTATCCTGTTGGTGTTTCTACCAGACCATCAAGTCTTTCTTGAAGGGCTGCAAGAATCTGAGGATTTTGCATCATCTGAACAGTCAGCTGACGCGCTTTGATTTTTGTTTCTTCACCAGTTTCTTCTTCTTCTACTTCTTCAACATCATCCAAATCTTGATCAAGTTCAGACTGTTCTTTGTTGTCAATGTCTGTCATGTTGTAAGAATTCCAAATATTGGTGGCTAGCACGGGGAGCCAGGTGGTCGAAGCTGCACAGGCAGTGACTCAGGGCGGTGGCGGGAGGAGCAGGAGGCCTCTTACAATTTTTTAAATGGGGAAAAAAAGAAAATTCTAGTGGGTAGCAGAGAATGAATGTGAGGATTCAAATTGGAGAAAAACTTCTTGAAGGACTTTTCCATGTCCATGGGATTTTTGGACATTCTAGTGCAATTAAGGCAACATTTTATTTGACTCAAGTCTGTACCCAAGGACACAGCAGAGATTGTCAGGCTTCCTTCAGTGAGATAATGAAAGACTACATGGAAAGCTGGCCTTTTAAATCCTGCAGTTGTGTTGAAGCAAAAATGGCAATAGAATCAGCCTGAAGGACTTTGTTTTTTGTTTTGCTTATTGTTTTTATAAAGATTTATTTATTTGAGAGAAAGAACATGTGCATGTGAGCGGGGAGAGGGGCAGAAGGAGGGAGAAAGAGAGAGAGAGTCAGAGAGAGAATGTCCAGCAGACTCCCTGCTGAGCATGGAGCCCACTGAGGGCTCCATCTCAGGACCCTGAGATCATGACCTGAGCTGGAATCAAGAATTGGATGCTTAACTGACTAAGCCACCCAGGCGCCCCATTCTGAAAGACTTTGAAAGAAATTTTACCTGCTGTGTCTGGAAATGAGTTACACAAAATTATTTAGGGAAAACATTCCAAAAAGTTATTTAAAAAAATTTTTTTTAGGTAACCACCATGCCCAAGGTGGGGCTTGAACTCACACCCCCAAGATCAAGAGCTGCATGTTCTACCTACTGAGCCAGCTAAGCACCCCTGAAAAGTTACATTTTTTTAAAAAAGATTTTATTTATTTATTTGACAGAGAGAGACAGCAAGAGAGGAAACACAAGCAGGGGGAGTGGGAGAGGGAGAAGCAGACTCCCCACTGAGCAGGGATTCCCCATGCGGGGCTCGATCCCAGGATCCTGGGATCATGACCTGAGCCGAAGGCAGACGCTTAATGACTGAGCCACCCAGGCACCCCGAAAAGTTACATTTTTAAGTCATTTAGTGATTGTTCAAATCTAGTACCTTCGCTGACCCAGCAAAAAGTATCCATTGTCGTTTGCTGGTTGTTTTACTGTGTTTGACTCTAATGAGCTAAATACTTTTTAGGGATCATGAACTGTTAATGAGTGAAAGAAAAACATTAAAGAAAAATTTATGTGTATATGAACAAAAATAACCAGTGTATAAAAAGGGGCCCCAATTTAAATTGGAGAGCCAGAGAGTCCTTTCCGACAAAGTAACATTTCATCAGTTATCTGAAGGATAAATGTGTTAGCTGGATAAAGAATAGGCAGAAAAAGATTTTTAAGTAGAAGGAGCAACAAGTACAATATGACCAGAGGCAGGAAATAATTTGGTGGGTTTGAGGAATCGAAAGGGAGCTAGTGTGCAGGAATAAGGTGGAAAGTCATATAAGATGGAGTCGTGAGGGAGGCAGGGGCCAGAGCATGAAGACCCTGTGGGTCAGGATAAGCAATCTGGATTATACTGCAAGTACATTGGGAAGCCTTTGAAGGGTTTTTAGTGAAGGGATAAGGAGATCCACGTGGCAGATTCCTCTGGCTGCTGTCTAATGAAAGCACAGAACAGATGAAACGAAGAGACCAGTGGAAGGCTGGTCCAGGTGAGAGATGACGGAGCCTTCACTGAGGTGGTAACAGGGTTGGTGCAGAAAAGTGGATGGATTTAGTTTTAGTTTTGGAGGTAGAATCCATAAGACTTGGCTATGAAACAGGAACAAGAGGTAATGTCAGGATTGATTCACAGGTTTTTTGAATGACCACTGAGATTCTGGCTCCTAATTCCAATGTGTGGGGGATTCCCCACACGGAGCAATTCTTGGACACTAGCTGTGTGTCCTACAATGTAACTCAATTTTGACACTTTCCATCTGGAGATAGCCTAAGATTCCACAGGTTTAGGGTTCAGTCCTACAAGACAGTCTTCCACCCCCCCTCCCAACACACACACTTCAGAGGCTAGTCACAAGCTCAGGTTATCACCTGTGCCTCTGACCAATCCATTATAGATTGGAGGTTCCAATGATCTCTTCCTTGGTTTTGATTAATTTGCTAGAGTGGCTCACAGAACTCAGAAACGTTTGGAATAAACTCGGGAACAGCCAGATGGAAGAGATGCATAAGGAAAGAGCAAGGAGCTTCATGTGCTCTCCAGACATCCACTCTCCCCACATTTCCATTGGTTCATCTACCCAAAGGCTCTCTGGCCCAGTCCTCTTGGGGTTTTCATGGAGGCTTCATTACATAGGCATGATTGATTAAACCATTGGCCTTTGGTGATTGAGTCAACCTCCAGGACCTCTTCCCTCTCAAAAGTAATGGTGGGGGGTTTGAGTAGGTGGGGGAGGGGTGAGACTTGAAGTTCCAACCCTCTAATCACATGATTGGTTCTCCTGGCAACCAGCCCCCCCTCCTTAGGTGGCAAGCAAAATCCACCTCATAAACATAACAAGAGATGCCTCTGTCACTCTCAACATTTAGGAAATTCCAAGGGTTTTAGGAGCTCTATCCCAGGAATAGGGACAAAGACCAAATATATACTTCCTTCTTATAAATCACAATATCACATGAACTTGCTGATAGTGGTCACTATGGTACTAATCATAATCCCTAGCCAGTGTGAGTCAGGGAATACAGTCAATGCTTTCTAGATTTCCTTTTTTGGTTTGTTATTGATTGTTCTTGTCTCATATGGACTAGTCTGTACCATCACATGCACTTTTGGGTTTAGTGTGCTTATCTTATTAGAACATAAAAGTCTTTTTTTTCCCTTCACTGCCAGGTCATTCTCATATATAAATTTGCTTTTGTTGAAATAGTGTGCTGAGAGATGTCCTCTCTGAAAGGGCTGTACTATTTGGGCAACTTTCTGATTTTTGAGGACCTCACTGATAGTGTATTTGTGTGATGTTCTTCCTAGTACAGCTATTGGAACATTTGTTTAGACATCCTTCCAATGATCTAGCAGTTAATGCATTTCTTTTTTTTTTTTGAAGATTTTATTTATTTATTCATGAGAGACAGAGAGAGAGAGGCAGAGGCAGAGGGAGAAGCAGGCTCCCCGCCGAGCAGGGAGCACAATGCGGGACTCGATCCCAGGACCCTGGGATCATGACCTGAGCCGAAGGCAGATGCTTAACCGCCGACTGAGCCACCCAGGCGTCCCAGCAGTTAATGCATTTCTAAGAGGCTTATTCACAATCAGCATTTTGTTATCCACTCTTTGATGTAAATTCTTAAAATAAGGAGGGAATATATGATTAACCCTATATTCAGAAGTGAATAAAGTGGATATTATATTAAGCTTTCAGCTTGTAATTCCCATATCACATAGATAGTATACATTCAGAACCCATGCCTACTCGTGGTACAGGTGTGGGGGTTTGATTCTTCCCAGAAATGTTCTCTCCACTGAGAACCGTAGGGAATGGCAGGCTTCCTTGCTGCTTCTCTGTTCCACTGGAAGAATTTTTCTAGTTCCCTTCTCACAGATTTGGTGGTTCTTCTATGTCTTGTCTTTCTTTATGTTAATGTCTCATTTTCAGCTCCCTCTTTCATCTAGACCAGGACATATCTTTAGTCCCTGGGGGCATTACAGCCTCTGTTCTGAGCCTCAGTTGTGGCACTTTCCTGGACTGTCAAGGGCACTGGGGATTCATCAACCACCAGGAAGCTAATTCAATCATTTCAATTCTAAGGACCCATCTCTTGGTGAACGTGGTAAGGACATTTGAAAACATGGTTATCTGAATGGCTTGAGTAGGCTATTGTTATTTAGTGCCTAGAAACCAGGGATGCCCAACGAAGCTTGCCCCAAAAGGCCATTAGACTTCTCTTTGGAAAGCACTGTCTATTTCATTCATCTCTGGGATGATTTAGTTTAGTCCCCTTTGAAGGAACTAAACTTAATTTTTTTTTTTTTTTACTCCAGGGCACCTGGCTGGCTCAGTTGGTAAAACATGCAACTCTTGATCTCGAGGTCTTGAGTTCAAGAACCATGTTTGGTGTAGACCTTACTTAAAAAGAAAAAAAAAACACCCAAAACTTCTTTTCTAAGTGTCTTCGCTCCTCCGGTGGCCATAACAAAATACCATGGGCTGGGGGGCTTAAACAACAGGAATTTATTTCTCACAGTTCTGGAGGCTGGAAGTCCAAGATCAAGATTCCAGCTGATTTGGTTCCTCGTGAGAACCCTCTGCCTGGCTTGCCGATGGGCACCTTCTCACTGTGTCCTCTGGTCTCTCTTCTTTCTCTTTCCTTTTTTTTTTCTTCTTCTTTTCCTTATAGGGACACTAATCCTATCATGGGGGACCAGTTGTCATGACCTCACCTAAATCTAATTACCTCACTAAAGCCCCACTTCCAAATACCATCACATTGGGGAGGTTGGGGGGTCAGGGTTTTTCTATACTAATTGGAGGAGGGAAACACAAATATGTAGTCTATAATACTAGGTGTAACGAGCTTGGACCTTTTATAAATACCATGTCAGGTTTCCTTTTATGTAGGAGGAGAAGAAATAGATTACTTTTATTTTACTTTATTTTATTTATTTGACAGAGAGAGCACAAGCAGGGGGAGCGGGACAGGGAGAAGCAGGCTTCCTGCTGAGCGGGAAGCCCGATGCAGGACTCACCCCAGGACCCTGGGATCATGACCTGAGCTGAAGGCAGATGCTTAATGACTGAGCCACCCAGGCATCATTTTTTTTTTTTTTTTAACTTTAAAAGATTCTTTATTTCCTGGGGCACCTGGCTGGTTCAGTCAGTAGAGCATGTGACTCTTGATCTCAGGGTTTTTGCGTTCAAGCCCCACATTGGGCTAGAGCTTACTTTAAAAAAATAATAAAATAAAAGATTATTTATTTCCCAATTTAGAGGATTGGATGTACCTTTTAGATCTTTTTATTTTTATTTTTTTAAAGATTTTGTTTATTTGAGAG